TTATTATATATTAACTAAACTATATAGTTAGTATATAATTATATATAATATTATAATAGATAAGTCTAATAAATATCTAATAAATATCTAATAAATATCTATTTTTTAATAACTAATAAATAATTAATAAATAATTAATAAATAATTAATAAATAATTATTATATTATAAAGTAATAATTTTTCTTTTATTCAAAATAGAGCTAGTATTATATTTAAATAATAATTTAATTATTATCTATTATTAATAATAGTTATTAAGTTAAAAATAATTAATAACTATATAATAATTTAATACTAGTTTTAAAACTAATCATAACTGTTTTAAAACCTCAAAAAACCTTCACTAACCGTCGTTACTAAATGGCCTGGGCCACTACGTACTCTATATGTGATCGACTCCCCCGGCTCTCCTTTGACCCCTTCGCTAAATTACTGTAATTAACACTGGACTGTCGGACGAGACGAGTACCAAAAAAAAATCATTGGTAATCCAAATTTAAAGATGACCAGCAAGTTGCAGGATACTCTACAGTACACAGTTGAGCTGGTGGGGGAAACCCTTAGGGAAGCATAGCTCTTTAATAAGAAGTGAACCAGCCGGTAGAAAAATTGCCCATTCGATACCGTACGGGGGTATTCCCGCAGGTGAAAAATGACCGGCAGAGGCTAGAATTTCATGACGTCATATTGCATGCCTAGATACACCCTCCTGGCAGCTACACTATACATTACACTAAGTGTAGCGAGGAGGATCAATGTCATGCCAAGATTTCGGTTGTATGCTCTCGGCCCGTGGTGGCCTGCAAGCGTTGGATTCGTAGCCTGTCCCGATTGCAGGCCCCTTGAGATACCAGTTGGTTGCCATGCAGCCCAGCGGGCTCTCGGTCCGCAGCGGCTTGTGAGCCAGCACGGACTGTGGTCCCAGGGCCATTGGACGGCTGGGTCTCGTGATCTGTCTCGGCCCCTAGCCTTTTGAAGCTTTGAGTCCAGCTCGATGAGCCATCCGGCCTTCTTTCCAATCTAATCAATCCTCGCTGGCTTACGATCCCGGACTTGCGGACTTTGATGGTTGAGAGCCTCGAAGATGTCCTTCGCTGACATTAATCTGTCCTACTAAAAATCCATTATCTTTTTCCTGCACGACTTTCCCACGACTTGTAGGAGCCATCCCGACGAACATGGGAGGACAAAAGCCTAGTTCCACCAGCGCTGTAGAAGCCCACTGTAACGATTTTCTCCTTTTCCTCTTTGTCCTTGGCCGAGGTGTGTGCCAAGGCGCCTCTTCGGAGGGTCAGCTCGTGCAAAAAGACTAAGACTAGACAGAGAGACTCACTGTATCTTAGCATCGACAACCTTTGGGTTCTGATTACTTGTCAGTACACCTGATCTCTTGATGTTGTCATGCCGTGAGACTTACTTGTGCTTCCACCTTCGAGGCCGCGCTGGCGAGGGCATTTTCCCATTCTGTGTCATTGTTCATCTGCACAACGTCTGACACAGACACATTGCCAATCCAATTGACCGCGCGTGTGGCTGCTGTTTGAAAGCCTCGAGCGGGGACACGGTTCATTTTGTATAAAATGCTAGAATATCCTAGAATATCTAAAAGAACTTGGGGTAGCTGGGGTGGCTCGAAAGAGACTGCGAAGAAATGTGTTGTGGATAGTGTGGTGGTGGTTTACGCCCCCTTTATATAGACACAATGTTCACTAGAAGTATTATATGCGCAGAGTGGACCTCATATTGACACACCTGAGTCCAGCGATGCAGCCAAAGCTATGACTTGCTTCCCACTCTTGCAGTATGGGCGCTTAATGTGTGGTAGATAGAGACACAAAACAGGGGGGTGTGAAACACAATCGTGGGCAGGACCTGCATATGTATTTGTTATGGAATGTGGGCGCTTCTTATTCGTGAGACGTGCCCTATGGGGTCCTTCATAGAGCCGCCATCAGTGGCTACATCCCAGCCGATTCTCTGCCTCAACCCAATATTAAGTGTCAGAGGTGCGTGCCCGATTAGGCCTAGCGTCGCCTCGTTTGGCGCGGCCGCACCGCACAACCACCTGCTTTGCGTCTAAGCTGTAGCAGCAATAGTAACCATTAGCCATCTCTTCCCTTTTCCAGGCCTACTAGGCCAACATGGTAGCATATTATTTAAAAAGATAGAGTATACTATATTTAATAAATTCTTATTTATTTAAGATCTTATCTAAGTAATATTGACGTCTATAAAATAATAGGTGATATAAGTGATATAAGTGATATAAATAGTTCCCCTAAGGCTGAATATATTTAAAAAGACTAATAATAATTAAATTTAAAAAATATATACCTACCTAATTAACAAATCAGACGTCAACAGGCCTATATAATAGAGATAGAACTAATTAAAGGTTCACCTAATAAGTAGTAGCTATATTAATAGTTAAAGGTATTAATTAGGCGACCAAAATTATAGATAGTCAGCTTATTCTAGATACTATTAAGAAGTTATAAGGTAAAGAGAATATTAAATACTAAGAGGACTATATCTAGTAAGTTCTTAAAATTAATAACTTAAAGAATATTATTTATAAAGATATATCTAGACTAGTAGAGAATTCCTATAAATTTAATAAATAGGATTACATGTCACGACGCGTAAAGCTCTAGCTAGCACTATTAATTAATAAGAATATTTAAAGTAAGGTTAAGATATCTATATTACTATAGATATATATAGATAATTTCTATTATATTATCCTAATAAGTATTAAAGGAATAGGCGTTTATTAGGCCTCTTACAACTTTAAGAAACTAATTAGGATATATTATTTAGATTATTTAATAATTAAAGAATTTATTTAGGATCTTATTAAGAGCTATAACACTACTAATCTTTATATTAGAACCTATATAGGACCTTATGCTGCAACTATTATCCTTATAGATAAAGTAAAGAATAAACTCCCTATTTAGGTTAACAAAATTAAAGATATTATTAATAGATATTTAGATATAGATAATGTAACTAAAAAGGATTTCCTATAATATTATAATAAAGTTAAAGATAAGGTTAGTAAATTAAAGAGTAATTAAATACTTATTATAAGAGCTGTTAAGCACCTAGGATTAAGTAATAATAATAATAATATAACCCGCAGGAATAAGCCACTAAAGAATATAAAACTATATAATTAAGTCACTAAATGGCTTAATGGCCAGATGTGAGGTGCAAATAATAAGTATATATTTTATAATAATAGAAATTATAATGTTATAAGCTGCTACTACCTGGTTATTAATATATAGCCTATAGGATGGTCCCTAAAGGCGACAGTATAGTACTATAAGCTATTAGTATTAAAGAAAAATAATAATATTAAGCATATTAAGATAGTCTAGAAACCTATTAATAACATTAATAAGGAGAGTCCTAAAGATAATAATAGTGATAATAAATTTATTATTAGTGGCCTTATCTATATAGCTAAGGTATTGCCAAGCAAACAGATCTCTTTAATTAACTATAATACTATAGATATACTCACTATATACTAATAGATAGTTAACTTAGGGTCATCCTATATAATATTGTGATATCGCGAGCGAGCAATATTGTGAACTCCCGCGCGGCCATAAGCGGGATCACCTTGGCGGAACGCTAAGGTGCCTGCTCACCAATAACATGAGATCTTCTAACCCTAGTAGAGTAGTTATATAGAGTTTTTACTCTATACTAGGGATTAATTAATTCTATAGAGTTCTATCGCCACTAGGTCGCTTAGCTTTTAATGAGCTAAGGGGAGGTATATAGATACCTTCTCTCTAACCTATAGTAGTAATAGAATAGAGATTTTTAGAGAGACCATTAGCTTTTAAATATTATATCTAGTAGTATATTATATTAGGGGTTAGCCCCTATACTGACCCTAACGGACTGCCACTCTATAGATAATATCTAAGGATTAATAGGATTTAAAAGCAGGATAAAAGGGACGAAAGACCCCTTAAGTAAAGAAAGAAGAATTATTAAGTATCTTTATTAAAGAAACTAAGTAAATAAAAGACTTAATCTTCTACTATAAGTTAATAATAAACCTTATTAATAATATATAGAACCACCTATCGCCTAAGGTGTTTAAAATCCTCTTAATGATTATAACCACTAGGATAGATAAGATAGATATTTACCCTCTTTTTAGACACCTAAAGTAAGTGCTTTAAGATAAAAGAGGCTAAATAAATCACCTAGTCTAGGAACTTAAGACTACCCACATATAGGTGGCTTAACTCTAAAATAACCTCTACTAAGTAACTACTAGATAGCTAGATCCCTAAAATAACACCTAAGCAGCCGCTGGGGAAACTGGCCATTAAGAGTTAATTAATAATCTTAATAATTAAGATAGACACCTCTACTAAAAGATCTTAAAACTTAACTAGATCTCTAAATATATAGGTAAATACTAAGATAAGGGCGCCTAAAAATGGCTATAGTAAATAGATAAATACTTTTAAGATAAAGAAGTCTTATATAAGAAGTTCATTACTAATAGAGAGAAGATCCTAGTGGTAAAATAAAAACTTAATAGTAAGGTATATAAATAATAAAGGTATTTATAGAGCTCTATTAATAATAAGCTCTACGCCCCTATTAAAACCATAATAGAATTTAAGAAGTAGATTATTAATAACTATATTAAATACCTTAATAAGGAACACTATTAGGAGGCGTATAAGAGTCTCACCTAAAGAAAGTGACCTATTTAGATATATACTTATAAACTAGTAGAAGTTGTAAACTAGATTAATCTCTTATTAGTAAAGAATATACTTATTTAATAATTTATTATAGGCAGCTAAAAATAACTTTAAGAGTAATAAGTATATAAATTTAATAAATTAATTATTTTAGCCAGGGTTGTCGCAAAATTCGCCCTCTATAAGAAAGGGGTTATTACTATATAATATATCTATAGGTCAATAGGAGCACTAGATGCCATAGATATTAATACCTTAGGGTAACTATATACCCTGCCTAGGAGGCCTACCCCTATAAATAGATATATACTATACCCCTAATAATTAATCACCAGCATAAGAGGACTCTATTTTATATATAGGAAACCTAAATATTATATAAAGGATTATTAACTAAGTGAAATCTTAATAATAACCCCCTTAATAAAGGCCCTAAGGGAGAGAAATAGAGTTGACTACTAGAACCAGAAGCACTAGCAGTGTAAATACTTAAGGCTTTTATAGTCTCTAATATTAACCTCCTTAATATCCTAGACCCCCAGGGATTACCACCCTCATAAGGAGATGAAAAGTGAAAAATATAAAAAAGGAAGTATAAACTAATAATCTAAATAATACTAGCATAAATAAATGCGCTAGGTGGAGGGCTACTAATCTTTAGAGGGGAGATCAGCACTAGGGAATAAGGGAAATTAAAGATTAAATATATAATTAATAGTAGAGCCTCTAATAACTTTATAAGTGGTAGGGTACTTTAAAAACTCACCTATACCCCACTCTAATAGATTAATAAGGGCACTCAGCTAGATGTGACGCTGCCAAATAGTAATCATATCCTTGTGACGGCCCTAAGCAAATGAATAATCAATTGGTGGCTTCAATACTAAAATATTCAAATGAGGAGAGGAAAGAGGAGAGGAGGGAGAGGTGCGTCATAAGGCGCATCTAATATCCCTCTCCCCTTTCCCGCATTAAGCTAAAATAAGAATAGCAGCCTTATTCACCATAACCTGCCTAAGGCATATAAACGACCTCGCTGTCGCCATGATATTACCCCCCTATTTAGCCTTTAATTCTCCTATAAATCTATGTTTAATGCTCCTATGCTAATAAGGGCACTATAGCTCTTTTAATACCCTATTCTATGCTATAGCCTATTACTTAAGACTTTACTTTACTTAGACCCCTCTATTCCTAAGGGGAATTCATCTTGCGATGTTCTAAGAACGATGGGATAGCTGCTCTATCTAGATATTATTTATAAAAAATTACTTATTTACTAATTCTTTTCTTTTTATAGGCCTACCCCTTTTTATACTTTTAATTAGTATCTTATTATTACTATTGTGATATCGCGAGCGAGCAATATCGCGAACTCCCGCGCGGCCATGAGCGGGATCACCTCGGCGGAACGCCAAGGTGCCCGCTCACCGACGACGCGAAATCTCCCGACCCTGGTGGAGTGGTTATGTAGAGTTTTTGCTCTATACTAGGGATTAATCAATTCTATAGAGTTCTATCGCCACCGGGTCGCTTAGCTTTTAATAAGCTAAGGGGAGGTATATAGATACCTTCCCTCTAACCTATGGTAGCAATAGAACAGAGATTTCAGAGAGACCGTTAGCTTTTAAATATCATATCTAGTAGCATATCATATTAGGGGTTAGCCCCTATGCCGACCCTGACGGACTACCGCTCCGCGGACAATATCTAAGGATTAATAGGATTTAAAAGTAGGATAAAAGAGATGAAAGACCCCTTAAGTAAAGAAAGAAGAATTATTAAGCATCTTTGCTAAAGAAACTAAGTAAATAAAAGACTTAATCTTCTACTATAAGTTAATAATAAATCCTATTAGTAATGTGCAGAACCACCTGTCGCCCGAGGCGTTTAAAATCCTCTTAGTAATTATAACCACTAGGATAGATAGGATAGATGTTCGCCCCCTTCTTAGACGCCTAGAGTAAGTGCTCTAAGGCAAAAGAGGTTAAGTAAACTACCTAGTCTAGGAACTTAAGACCGCCCATGCATAGGTGGCTTAACTTTAGGATAACCTCCACTAAGTGACCACTAGGCAGCCAGGTCCCCAGAACAACACCTAAGCAGCCACTAGGGAAACTAGCTATTAGGAGTTAACTAATAATCCTAATAACTAAGGTGGACGCCCCTATTAAAAGATCTTAGAACTTAACTAGATCCTTAAA